CAACAACAACAACAACAACATCATCAACAACAACAACAACAACAACAACAACAACAACAACATCATCAACAACAACAACAACAACAACAACATCATCAACAACAACAACAACAACATTATCAACAACAACAACAACAACAACAACAACAACAACAACAACATCATCAACAACAACAACAACAACAACAACATCATCAACAACAACAACGACAACAACAACAACAACAACGACAACAACAACGACGACAACAACAAAACACAACAACAAGACTAACATATAAAAAATCAAAATAAGATTATAAATTTTAAGTTATGTATACATCAAATTGAATGAACAAATTTTTGTATGATATTAAAAAAAAATTCAATACTATAAACGAATTAACGTCACTAGCCAATGTTATGAACAATTTAACAAGGGTGGCATTAGAATTTCATCAAAAGATTTGACAAGGATGACGAAATTGCAAGCAAACACCTTACAAAACCGAAAAATTCATACATCCAGCCAGACAACTTCAACAACACTGCCATGACAATGAGATCAAACATTGAGTTAAAATAATTTTCATCTGTTTTTTTCATATAAATAAATAAATAATTAAAATTTAAAGACAATTTTAATTATATCAGAAAAGTTTCCTTAAACTAATGAAAAATAACTTTCTGAATAAATTTTGTACAAATTCCTCCAATTTTCGTTCAAAATTGTGGAGAGTGATAACAAATGGAAAATAATTTGATTGATGTGTGAAATTTTAAAATTTGATTGAAAATTTTAGGAAAAAAAGTTGTAAAAAATTAATAAGTAGAATATAACTGTACTAAAATGATACAACACAATACAAGCAAACTCACGATATAAAAATTGGATATACACGCTTACATACATATATACATACAAACAAACAAACAAACATACATACATACACACACATACATACATACGTACATACATACATGCATACAAACAAGCATACATACATACATAAAAACACATATTTGTTGATGGAATGCTTGAATACACGCGCGAATAACCTGACAATGGATCAAAGTTAACACAAGCTTACAACAATTTAATATGGAATAATTAAATAACAATAAAAGAATCAATAAAACCACACACGCATACACTCACACACACACACACTCACAACGTGTAGCAGATCTGGAATTTTACGATGTGGTGTTTGACCTTCAGAATGTTAAGCAGAGGACTTTATTTTACACTGTTTCTGAATAGTTTTCTTCTTTCAAGGTCTTCTGTTGGGGGCTGCATCTCCGAAATCCACTGCACACACACACACACACTCACACGCACACAAATACCTCTCATTACATACATATAGTACTGTAAGCGTAACGAACCAGTTATATTCAGTGCCAAAATGTTTGATCAAAACCATATATATGTATATGTATATGTATATATATATATATATATATATATATATATATATATTATATATATATACATATTTAGTTATTATTATGATTATTAGTTTTATTATAAATAAGAATAGTAATAACAAAATTCTGATATTTTTCACAAAATAAACGCCGGAACAATTAAAAAAAGCGCTTTTATACAGTATGTCAGTATAGATCAATCAGCTTTTTTTTTCCCAGTTTCTCATTGGCTGGAAGGCTGATCATGTGACTGCGTTGGGCACTTCTTAGTGGTCAGTATGCAGATATGGGGGTATATAGTATATATATATAATATATATATATATATATATACATATATATATATATATACATATATATATATTATATATATATATATATATGTAATGAAATTTTATAGGATCTTTACGTGACACGTTTTGGGCAAAATTCTGCAGAAAAAGTAAAAATAAATTAAAAACAAATTCATTTCTTAATAATTATTAAAAATAAGTTCATCATCATCATCAGCAGCATTCACCATCACCATTCTCATCATCACCTACTCTTTCTCGTCATCATCACCATCCTCATCATCGTCATCAGCACTTACTCATCTTTCCGACGTCGATGACGTCACCGTCGTTCTTGATAACTGTTGCCAACCTGCCGTCAGCGTGATAACTGAATGACGTCACGTGACCTCGATGGTTGACCTTGCTGGTCATCAGGCCGTTGACCTCGTACAGGAATCTGGAAATGATGATGATGATGATGTAGCTAATGGTGGTAGTGATGATGATGATGTTAAATATGATGATGATGATGATCATTCATCATCATTATCATCATTATAGCTAGAATCACAATCATCATCATCATCATCTCCATTCCCCTACTTGAACGTACGACCGCTGCTATCTGAGTATTCACTCAGGAAATCATTGTGGTCGGTGACGATGGAATGCTTTTCTATGCCGTTTAGAACTATCTCTTTCACCTTCATGTTTGTTTGTTTGTATGTTTGTCTGTATGTTCGTTCGTTTGTTTGTTTGTTTGTTTATTTGTCGTTTGTTAGTTTGTTAGTGTTTTTATTCGTCTGTCTGTTTGTCTGTTCGCTTAAATATGAAAGATACTCAAATAAAAATTTAATCGACAAAATGATTGATTAGTTAATTGACTGACTGACTGATCAATCAATCAATCAATCAATCAATCAATCAATCAATCAATCAATCAATCAATCAATCAATCAATCAATCAATCAATCAATCAATCAATCAATCAATCAATCAATCAATCAATCAATCAATCAATCAATCAATCAATCAATCAATCAATCAATCAATCAATCAATCAATCAATCAATCAATCAATCAATCGATCAATCAATTCAATCGATCGATCGATCGATCGATTGAATGATTGATTGATCGATTAATCGATTGATTGATTTATCGATTTAAAATCATGTTTACGAGGTAAGAATTTGGTCGAAGTCAGATGCAAAAGAGAACAACCTGTAGTTTGTAGTCCCTGTTAAACGTGATGACGTCACCGCGGTGGTTGGTGATTCTTTGGAGTTTTGCGTGCTGGGCGTTTACGGTGTGTGTGAAGTTGAGGATGATTCGATCGCTCCTGACATCTTTCGTCGATAGGTGGTGTCCGAATTTGTTGAATGTGTACAACTCATGCCGGGTTTCGTCTACTATCTGATTGGTTGGTTGGTTGATTAATTGGTTTGTTAATTGGTTGGTTTGTTGGTTGGTTTGCGGTTGGTTGGTATATAGATGACTAGTTTTCAGTGGGCTGGTTGATTGGTTGGTCGGTTTGTGTTGGTTGGTTGGTTGGCTGGTTGGTTTGTGGTTGGTTGGTGTAAAGATGGCTGGTTTGTAACTGGTTGGTTGGTTTGACTGGTTGACGTATGATTGGTTGGTTGGTTTGATTGGATGGTTTATGATTGGTTGGTTTGTGATTGGCTGGCTGGTTTGTGGTTGATTATTTTATATTTTAGACTAGGTTGAATGATGCCATCTTCGTGAATTAAATCAAAACTACTGAAAGATATAAATTGTAATTGTTGACCATTTTTTTAGCCAGTTAAAAGTTAATTCACCTTTTATAAGTACATTTCATCGTAACCAGTATCTCAACCGTACCTTTTTTTCACAATTTTATTTTTTAAAAAAGTTGTTGAGTTTGAGGTTCGCAAAAAATTTCATTTCTAAATCTAACAGAAAATATAATTAATATAAAGTTTTAAGCATAAAAAATTAAAATAAAGTTTTTATATTTTAAAAAATAAATTGATTTAATTTCTATTTGAATTTTAAAAATAAAATAATTCTTCATTTTTTGACTTTTAGTTCAAAGACATTTTTTTTTGTGTAATTCCATTTTAAAATATTTTAAAATGTTTTCTCAAATGATTCATCAAATTCTCCACAATTATTTGATTCGGTGCAATTATTTTTAAACAAAATCAAAAAATATTTTTCTCATTTTCGATCAATTTATGCGTCAAACATCTGGTTCCTTTCTTTTTTTATCCTCACAAAATTTTGGTTATTAAATCTATTTTTTTTTTGTATTTTGAGGATTTTCATTTAAACATATCGGTGAAAAAGTATTAAATCTAGTTATTTGAAAATAATTAAAAAGTTAAACAATAAGTCTACCAACTATAGGCTGGTAATACAGTGGTAATAACTCACTGACAACTAATAATTTAAAAATGAACTCACATTCAACCGATCATCCAACTTGCCAACTGACGGCCGACTAGCCAACCAACCAAATAACCAACCAACCAACCAACTAAAAAACCAACCAGGTATATAACAAACCTCATACAAATTGTTCTTATTTAAAGAGGGCAACTTTGGTTTTATGAAGTGCACCCTCAAGCCTCCCATCTCAGCCACATGGAGAACATTATCCGGGGTCGTTGCTATCGAAACAGGGTACTGCAGGGCTAGCCTTGCCCCCACTTTATGACGTGGATGTGTTGTGTGGTGGGATTTGCGGCGTGTGTTTTGGGAGTTGTTGCGGTTTGCTTGACAAGGACACTTAATTTTGTTGTTGGTGTTTTTGTTGTTGGTGTTTTTGTTGTTGTTGTTGTTAATGTTGTTGATTACGTTGTTGTTGTTGTTGGACTCTTTGATGAGTTTATCGTTATTTTTATCAAGTCCGTTTTTACTTTTACGCTCTTTAGCGTCTTTGTTGAATTTTCTCTTCTTATCATCACCATCATCATCTCTGCAGTGGCACTCATCATCAGCATCTCTCTCATCGTCGTCGTCATCATCCTTGTTGTAACCATCATCATCGTCATCCTCATTATTATCGTCATTCTTTCTTTTGTTCTTGACGTCATTATCACTATCATCATCACCACCACTAACGCCGCCACCACCACCACCACCATCATCATCATCATCATCATCAGATGGATTGCTTACATGGTTCCATATCTTACCTGCTGTGTCTATCCGTTTGATCTATTGAAGAAGAAACAAGTGGTGATGATGATGACGACGACGACGATGATGATGATGATGGTAATAATGATGATGATGATGATGATGATGATGATGATGGTAATAATGGTGATGATGACGACAAAGATGATGACGACGACGATGATGATGATGATGACAGTGATGATGATGATAAACGTAAAAATGTTTGGAAAAATTTTAATTAAAAATAAACAAAAAAATATATAAATATATGAGCAGATAAACATTCAATATATTTCTGTTTATATAGGATATAAACCACACCATGTTTCGGCCACTGGAGATGCTCTCAACCACAAAGAGTTCGCCATCTGGTGAGAAGGTCAGACCCACAGGGTTAATTAGCCTAACATCTGTTGCATACAGTCCTTCGTCTGCGTCATAGTCTTCGTCATCGTCGTCGTCAGGGTCATTAAGTTTGTTTTTGTTGTTTTTATTGTTCTGCTGATTTGGGGTTTTTAGATTGTTGTTGTTGTTGCTGTTGTTGTTGTTAATGTTGTTGTTGTTGTTATGATTGCTGTTACTTTCAAAGTTCATATTAATAGTTTTGTTGTTGTTGTTGTTGTTACCCTTATAGGTACCACTAGCCTTATTATTTATATTATTATTTTCATCTTCATAGTAATAATCATCATCATCTTCATCCTCATCATCATCAGCATCATTATCATCACCGCCCGTAGCATCATCATCATCATCATCTTTAGATGCTTCTCTCTTTCTCTTTTTCACTTTCATTCTTTTACCATCACTGTCTCCATTCGCTCCGTTCATCGTGGAAGAATTATTGTATTTAATTTTCTTCCGCTTGCTGACTGACGGTGATGATGATGATGACGATGATGATGGTGATGACGTCGATAAACAATGCAAAGGTTTTCCCGCCACTAGGACCACCATGTTGTTTTTCGTGACCTTGAAGACGCTCTGAAGGTCAATGAAGTGGAGACTGTCGTCCAGGGGGTTGATGGCCAGCGAGGTCGGCCAGTGCAAGGTCACCTTGACGGTGGTGGTGATGATAATGGGAATAATAATAATAATAATAACTGTAATATTATTTACAATAACAATAGTAATAATAGTAATAACAATATTAAAAAGAAGAAGAAAAAAAAGAAGAAGAAAAAAAAGAATAAGAAGAAGATGTTAATGAGTAGAATACGATTAAAAGCAAAAGTGATAATAATAATAATAATAAATAATATCGGCCTGCAGCACATCACTAACCCGCCTCAAAGGTACATCCCTATAGCAGTCGATCGGTCTGAACAGTTTCGGACCATCCTGGAAACCGATGAATGTATCGATGATACCACTGTTACTAATCGTCCGAATATTCGTCCCGTCGGCTATGAACATGACGCCGTCCTTGTTTATCGTTATGCCTTTGTTTGGAGAATTATTTAAATTTATTTATTTAATAATATGTATTAAACTGATTTCATTATTATTTATTTCAATTTTATTTTTTTGATTACGATATATTTTCCTACTTATGTTTGTTTTTTATTTTGCAGCTCTGTCATTCGCTAGACAGTTTTTACAATATACATAAATATTATAGTGAAACTTTCAAGCCGCAAAAACTGCAACATCCCCACTACACATTTCGTATGCCTTGCGTACAAAAGAGACAATGGCTGTTCTTGACCTAAACCCTTGCCCAACAAAAGTCAAGGTATGTTATGATCCTAACTCCTGCCAAACAAAGGTCAAGGAGTGGTAAAATGGTAATGTGTTTGGATGCATAAATGAGAGTTAACTTGGGTTATGTGATGTTTGTTTGTTAATTTTCAAATATTACATCCATATTAATTGTAAACTTCGCCAAGTTTTTGTGCTGTTTGAAGTGACGAAACGATTTTTTTTTTCTTCAGCGTTTCATCTGTCAGACACGCGATGAAAATAAATTGGATACAATTTGACGTCTCAAAATCAAAAACTGTCGAAAAAAAGTTGAATCGCCACAATTAAATTTATTCGTCACTTTTCAACATCATCGAACGCAAAACTGCTACCACTACTACTACTACTACTACTACTACTACTACTACTACTACTACAACAACAACTGCTACTACTACTACTGATAATGGGAACACTTTTTTTATTCAATCAAATATCATAAAACATACAGAATAATACAATATTCAATATATATACAAATAAAAATCCAGATAAAATAAAAAAATAATCAAGTATACGATAAAACCCTATTACGCATTATCATTTGACAAGTGCAAATAGGAGGCTTATTTAAAATGGTCATACAATGTTTCTGTCGCAATATATAGCGTATGTCGAATTGAATAATAATAATAATAATAACAATAATAATAATAATAGTGCTGCTGATACCGCAATTACTACTACTACTTCAACCACTACGTCGTCCAACCTTTTGGGTAGCTCAGTTTAGCTTTGAGGGCACTTTTGCTATCGCCACATCTGTTGAGGTCACCGTGGTAACACTGCTCCCCTGTTCCCGCTATGACCTCAAAGTTTCTTGACAGGTCTCGGACAGGACCCATTGTCTTTATCTAATTGGTTGGTTGGTTGGATGGTTGGTTGGTTGGTTGGGTGATTGGTTGGTTGGGTGATTGGTTGGTTGGTTGGTTTGTTAGATGGTTGGTTGGTTAGTAGGTTGGTTGGTTGGTTGGTTGGTTGGTTAGTAGGTTGGTTGATTAGTTGGTTAGTTAAATAGTTAGCTAATTTTTTATTGAATTTTATTTTCTTACAAAAAATTATACAAGTGAATACAGTTGGGTCAACAAAAGCACTCGTTTGTAGTCTTATCTGTGGATGAGTAGTCTACTGCAATGCGATTATGTTTGGAGCCAACCTATCCCTTCGCAATGATTTGCAGTCTGATCATAACACTGCAGTGTGTTTAGAACTTTACAGCGAAATCCAATTCATGGATGATATGTACTGGCTCCAACTTATTTGAAATAACATCCACAATAAAAACTTTTTATAAAATTATCCTCGAAGCAAATCCCAAAATGCCAAACGAACCCTGAGTATCTTGAGTTCCTGCTGCTTGGAGATGTACAACTTGCCATCGACCGGACTCATCGTTATGTAGTAGTTGTACGGCGGGTCGGAGTAACTAAGTTGGGGATTGAAAATCTATAGTCAAGTGTTTCATCTGCTGCTATATTTCAATTTTTTGTCTTTCATTTAAATTTTCTATTTTCCTTCATTAGTTTCCGTTGTGAAGTTACTTAAATATATAACTCTTTAATCATCATCATCATTGTTTAACCAGCCACATCATTCACTCATCACCATCATGACCAAGTTATAATTTAATCATCTCAAACAAGCCCCTCTCTAATTAAGCCCTACCTCATCTGCAGAATGTTGGCCACATCAGTTTTACCCGAATCTACCCTCTTGATGAAGCCCCACGTACCAACGTACAAACTACCGTCACGACCAGCTGCTAGTGCCATTGGTCCGTACAACCTCTGCGGCTCTGAAGCTGATGACGCTGACGAAGATGGTGGCGATGAAGATGATGATGATGTAGAGGAAGGAAAGGAAGAAGAAGATTGTGTGACGTCATTCAAGATGGTGGTGTGCTGCAGTGGGGAGTTCGCGAGGAAGTGGTTCGTTCCGTCGCCTCTGTGGATTATATCTGTTTGTGGTCGTTGTGGTTGTTGCGGTTGTAGTAGTGGAGAATGTTTAGTAAATTTTTTCTGATTGGAACTTTCAAACGAACTTGAATTTAACATGCCTTATTCAAATTTTGATATTTAATTTTTTTTTCTTTCCGTTGTGAATCTCTCCAACTAGAAACCAATTTGAAACAGTAAACAAAACAATTGGCAACAACAATCCGACGTGAACATTTGTATGTAAATTTTCTTTTCTTTTCTCGAGATATGTAAATGAAAATTTGAAATGCACCGGCCACAGACAACCGTCTATGAACCTTGGTTGAAGTTGAAGACGTGGTAGGCACTGACACTCCAACCTCCGACATCCCCGCTATCGTGTGCCCACAATGACGTCGTCAATTTGTCCCAATGTATGACGTCACTGCATCCAATGTACTCGTAGCCAACGGAAACTGGTGGTGAAGAGTGGAATTAGATATGAAACATTTGAAGTGATGATTAAGAACAAAGATATGGGTTTTTTTATGCAGCTACACAAAAATTACTATAATAACCGACCAATCGTAAGAGCATTTTTCTATTTAAACTAACTGACCAATGACAGGCACTTTTCCATAAACTTTCTGATTGTACGTGTTTCTCTTGTCCCACTCAAATTTGTACACCAAATCTGATTCCGCCTCTAAGGTTTCTTCATATAAAACGCCTTCGATCTGATGAGGATGATGAAGTAGATGGTGAAGATGAAGATGACAGACCTGATGTCGACCCCATGATAAAACTTGCAATGATGAAAGCAAAAAAAAACAAAGCATTGGAAGAAATAGCATTTATAAAAACAACAAAAACCATTCCACCAAAAAAGTAAAAATAGTGAAGTAATTGAACTGAGCGTGTTCACAACACGTCTGACCTCAATCTTCAAATGGATGACGTGTAGGTCGCCAATGATATCGCTAGAAAATAGGTCACTGTCTTTAAATGTTCCACCAATCATATAGCTGGAATGTGGGTCGTTATCTTTGAATGAATCGCCAATGAGATCGCCAGAATGTAGGTCGTTATTTTTATACAGGTCATCTGCGTTTTTCTTGTGGGCTGGAGTTAATCTGACCAAAAAGTAGGGCAAGAAACCGGAAGTTCGGCTACTTCGGTAAACGAGGTTTAAGTTGGTGTTTGGTAGGTCGATGGTGGATTGCAGAATCTGTGATTATGATGACGTTATGATGACGTAATGATGATGATATCGATGATAACAGTGATTACAACGGTGATGACTCTTACATGTACCGACCTTATTTTTAGTGACGTATTCAGTGACGTCATCGCCAAGGAAACAGTTCAAATTGTGTCTGTTTGACGAACTCTCGGATATTATCATTGGTTTCAATTTGTATCGATCGTGCTTCGTCGCACAATGACGATGATGATGGCTGCGATGGTGGTGACGAGAATGATGATGATGATGGTGGTGATAGGGATGAATATGATGACGGTGGTGATAGTAGTTGTGATGATGATGAGGAGGATGATGATAATGAAGTTCTCTATTGTTTTGTTGATGATGATGGCTGTGGTCTTTTTCTCTGTTTACCGAAATCTTCAGACTATTTTCATCATTATCCTCAAATTCATAGTCCTCATAATCATCGTCATCATCATCGTCATCATTGTTATTATTTTGTTTTCGACCACCGTGATCATCATCATCGTCATCGTCGTCGTCTTCATCATCGTCATTTTCTAAATATAGAACAACGGTTTTCATGACAACGAATCTGTTCCAAGGCACTGTGATGTTCTGCTGTTTGACCTTGAAGGGCTGCCGCTCAAAGTTCAAGGTCACCGAACCTCCGCCGTTCACTAGGATGTCGAAACTGGGCGGAGCGTAGAGAGGGTAATATTGATGAGTAACCATAAATTAAAATAAGAACTTTATTTGAAATATTTTTTAACAAGTTTTGAAAGATGAAAAAAATTGCGAAAAAACCCACTATCCTCCTTCTCTTGTCATCGTGAACCCGTACAACGGTTGCGTCATGACTCCGACCTTGACCCCTACGACGTAGCTTCCCCGTGACGTCATCACTCGACCTCTCACGACTGACACTTGCCTTAGTGACATCAACGATTTCATTGTTATAAATAGTTTCCTTTAAAAATATAGCGTACCGGTTAGAATGTCTAGTAGTATGTGTGTTGCAGCGACCCGGTTTGAGAGCAAGCAACACCCCAACCAACCTGACTAATAAAACATGTAGAATGTTGTCCCACGTATATATAATCTACATGCATACACTGGGCTCCTTACTGAGAACATTTCTTTAAAAAATTAAAAAGAGAATGATGAATGAATACAACGACATACATCTTTCCACAAAAATTTTTAACTTGATCTGAAACACCAGCGGCTTACGTGCTGTTGAAAGAAGTAATGGTGGCATCGTTCTGGACGCTTTCATCGCTGACGAGGAACTTCACCTTTTCATAAAATGACGCAATGGTGGTCGTCGGCTGTTTGGGCAGTAGGATGGTGCTTGGGTCAGGCGTCGTGATGCAGTGGCTACTGTTCTGGCATGCGGTCGTCGTCGTTGCTGATGATGATGATGGAGAAGATGATGGAGAAGATGAGGAAGAGGAAAAAGACGATGAACAGCAGTCCGGATCAAGACAGTCGACCAGATGATCTGTTTGTTGTATGGTTGGTTGGCGTAACTTTGAATGACAAATTTTCTTTTAATAACTCGTTAACAAAAACTTCTAACTCTACTAAAACAGCATTATCGAGAAAGTCTCCAACATCACCAGTTTCACTAATAATAATAATATCATCATCACCACCATCCACACCACCATCATCATCACCACCATCCACACTATCATCATCACCACAACCATCCACACCATCATCATCACCACAACCACCCACACCACTACCATCATCCCCCATCATCACCATCATCACAACCACCAAAAACAATAAAATAAAACAACAGCAATTCCACTCACCACCATCATTATCAAGACCATCTGAGCAGTCGCTTTCAACGGCCACGTTGCAATAAATTCCA